TTCACAGTGAGGAATCCGTCACTCAAGTGACACAAACGACACCTTTTCTCCTAGTTGTGTTCTACAATGAAACAGGGATTGTTTCTGCTGTCTGTGAGTTCAAAAATGTAAGCTTCGTGGAAGAAAATAATTCTAGCGACGAAATAAGAAAAAGAATTCAACTTTTTCCTGGATGCACACTATGTTCCTTCGTTTCCAAAAGAAAAAAGAAAGAAAGAAAGAATGCTAGTCCTTTTCAGACGGAATCCACAATAATTCGTTTTTCAGACGAAAGTTATTTTAGCAGTGATTACACCGTCAGATACTGTGCCGTATCCTTTTCCCGACGGTTGCATGTAGATGTCGCTCTTAAACATACGTAAACATTGTGATATTCAATGATGACATTCATTTATTGTACTTGTATAGCGTCGATGTTGAAAAAGGAAGGATATGATCGTTATCTCATCAATGGCGTAGAGGATTTTCCGAAATCTGGAACCAGTATTTCTTCCGGGGAACTGGAGCATAGATAATATATTTCATATACAGAACTATACACTATAAAAAATAATTGAACGTGCGGCTGAAAATTTCAGGACAAGTTTTTTTTCTGTATTGGCCAACTTTCAAAAGTTTTTCAGCGGTATCTGTTCTGCAATATCCGAGGAAACGTTCATCAAGCTTCCAAGTTCTCGAAAGAGCGGGCAGAGATCGAAGCATATTCACGCATTTCGGTGATGCAAAATATCAATAAAATATGTCAGCAGTTGGAAAATTTGCATACGGATCGCATGAAGGGTAAATTTTCGCCGTCGTAACAACTTGAAGACGATCCGTCTCGCGAAAAATAAAATCCGACCACGTTTTCCAGTGTTCCTCCATCCGGCTCCGTGGGCCCCATGCAACTTGGCAATTTGTTACCTATTATTCAAAGAATCAAAGAGAAGTTAGCCTTTTTCATCGTCTTCATCGGTCAAAATCCAGTTGAACGATTGGAGTTATTCCTCCAGCTTCAAACAATTTAGAAATCATTACTGTACCTTTTTTAAGTTTAAAAATTGAGGTCTCTTGAGAAGTTCTTTGGCTGCCCAAGCCTATAAGCCAGGATTAATTTTTGCTTGGGCATCAATACTGAAAACCATTCAACTTTCACTTCATTATTTGCAATTAGTGTAATTATTTTCAATTTATCTCGTATTGAAAGCAACGCTTTGCATTCACTTTCCACCAAAATTTGAACCCGCAGATTTATTTAAATTTATGATTGTCAGCATTATTCCTATTTTTAATATTTTATATCAATATCCAGTACAACTTGAACCTTCTGTCAATCCATAGACGATGCAAGTTTGACAAGTGAATCTTTTTCCACACTAAGGTCTGATGCATTTTCATGTATTTGTCCAACATTCCTACTTGAGACTACTTATGTATAATGAGGAAATTTGGATTAAGGGTCATTAGTAATTATAATGAAATGACCCATTTTCAAAGAAAGTAAATAGAAACCTGGCACAGCCCATCAATCAATTTTTAAATTTTCATAGTTGAGGAGTAATTACCTTTGGAGTCCTCGTATATGCCCTCTATTGCCAAGTCGGTATAACCCGTGAAGAAATGTGCGCCATCATTGGTTGAATTCGCAGGGAAAAATAAATCTTGGAACAATTGGAGTCTGGTCGGTAAGTAAGTCAGCAAACTTCCTCCCATTGTTGCACAATACTTTTCAGCCTCCAGGGGGAAAATAGACTCTTCGATGATCTTGAAGCAGGTTTTATCTACGGTTTTTTCCTTGTAACCGTCTCCACCTTTCCAGTTTTCAAATTAGCATCGAAAAAAGGGTTTGCATTCAATTTCTGAGTCCATTCACAACGTCGTTTAAAAAAAAAGAAATATAAATTTTAAATACCTGTGCAAAACGGATTCGGTCTAGGTGGTCGAATGAAATATCCATCTGTCCCGCAGGTGACTGAATAGGACGTTGCACCTGTCTGAAAACGTGAACCAGCTGGACAAACTGAAGTTACTAAAGCACCACTTGCTATGGGATAGTCCTTTCCATTCCAGTTTTGATAAACTGCTCCGGATGGCTTCGGTGGAACCTCAAAGCAGCCCCAGTCTGTCAATGGTGGGTAATTATAGGCAAGCATTTCACTTATTCATCGAAATCTAAGGAATATAATGTAGGCGTTGTTTACTTCAATTGAAAAATCGTATCATCGACAGCAGATATGGAGACTATGAGCAAGTCTGTGCGACAAGATAATGAAAAACATCAAAATCTATGTCCAAGTCAAACTATGACGGGAAAAAAACGAAATTGATTTTGCACCTACTGTACTTTAAATTACCCCGAGTACCTAAAAATTAGAGCATAAATTCATCTTC